TGAAATTATTGTCATGTTTCTGTGCTTAATAATTTTAATCTTATTCAATAATAATCTTAATCCTTTAGAATGGCATAGCACAAGAGTTGTGACGAGATTCAAATGACAATAAAAAATATGGTAAAACGGATAGTGAATGACTTGAAAGTATATAAAAAATAACGGGTCATCACGATACGTAGGATTCTTCTAGCAATGATAGTAAATACTATCAACAGATTTACGCTTTCCGCTTGGTATATATGGTAGGGAGTTTGTTCAGTTTGTAAAAGTGTAGAATTAATTGAAAAATAAGGTTTAAAATATTTGTATTAAATTGTAACGCCCATTTAAAGTTCTCATGCGTTGTAAAATAAACCTTCGATAAAGACACTAAAGGTCAAATACCAACATAATATTATTATGTCCTAACGAAATTTCTATTTATTCTCATTTTAATCGTTGACAAACACGCCAATAAATTAACGTTCAATTTTAAAAGTAAGAAATCAACTTGCTTTTAAAATTCACAAAGGTATATATACATATATATATATATATATACGTTTATTATAAGCGTTATATGAAAGATTTGATAAATCGCCTTAAACAACCGAAATTTATAACACACAACTGATATTTATCCCTTCTTTCGAGCCCCTTTTGAAGCCGGCTAAAATGTGATATAAAGTGAAGTAGAAACGTCCTCAACACCGATAACAGACTGATAGTGGACTGTTACCAATCAACCGGATTATGATAATGCCAATGATTACTATTCAAACTAAACAATTACTAAAAGTGAATTCTATGAATTGGCATTGCATAAATAAGTATACATAAGACATATATATAATAAATAGAAAAAAATAAGTAATATTCACGACTTATATCCCAGATGGGACAGTCAATGTCGTGGTGAACATATGACACGCCTCTATTTCACTAGATATAATTAAATTAAACGTGGCAGATGTCTACTTACATCTCTCAGACTAATTGTATTATTGGTGTTTCTATCATAGAAGAGTTAATCAGAAATTGACACAAGTGTTTCCTTTTCTTTCTTTTTGTTATTTGCCACATAAGAGGACATAAACTTTGTACAATGATTTAAATTGTGATATTATTAACATAAATAGAAATAATTAAAAATAAAGAGCAAACGAAGCAAGTTAATATATATATTTAAGCTACTTATAAAAAAGGCAGAACGCATAAAGTACTGTTACCGAAACAAATGAAAAATTTCATTCTTCTGAGAATGGCTAACGAGCCAACTGTACATATATATAGCTATATAATATTGGCTGTAGCTATATCATTGCACATGACAGATTATGCCATGAAACGATGCACTCAGGAAGACTTGGATGATATGAATTGATAAACCTCTTGTGTAACAGATTGCGCTCTACCTTAGTCATTACTCAATTACATACAGTCGCTGGACATGTTGCATAAGGTATAAATAAATTATATCAAGATGGATTAAAAATATCTATATTTCCATGTGTCATATTCTACCGACATCTCGTATTTTTTTAATATTATATTATGTTTTATCTTATACACATTATAGTTCATGCAAATGTACATTCTGTGAGAAAAACAGTCTAGTTATATTTCTCTTATATATATCTTTGTTGCGAATTGATAGCGCTTTAATTATGAGTCTTGTAAATAGAACGCTGCCCACAGAAAAGAAAATATTAATTACCTTAATAGATGTGAATGGTGGTAATTAGGAATAAGAAATTTTGACGTATAATGTATTAACAGAAATAGATAGAATTTTTTCTACTAATATTATAAACCAAATGCTTGGGAGAATAGATAAATGGATGGATATTAGTGTTTGAAGCATCAACTAGCAGGCGTACTCGTACGAAGGGTACACTGGTAGGTCATATTCTAGATTAGGAACACATCGAATACATTTAAAGATAAAAAAGGTACATCATGCACTAGGACTTTATTTTTTATAGAAAATGCTTTAAATTTCAAGGCACAGCAGGATGACATCAGCCGATGATTTCGCGGCGTTATCAACTAAAATATCTTTATAGATAACGATAACAATACCATACCGAACGTGTGTTTATCATGAGCCGAGGAAAAGGCAGCCGCTTCCAAATATTATTTAGTCAAAAACAATTAGTAGAATCATTCATATTGGTAGCCACGCTGATGATCATTTCTATTTTACATGCCATTCTCTGTCTGCTATCTCTATTTTACTGTTTCAAATAAATCTCAAATTTATAAGGATAAAGCACATATATATTTAAATATAACATATGACATTTCATTGTTTACATTATATGTATTAGAACGGAACTGGGATGAAAACTGATATAACTATGACTATATATTCCAAGCAACACCCATGTCCATATATGGTTATCACCTTAATATACATTTAAATAAAAAGAAAAAACTAGAATAGCACATTTATATAGACACTGAGTAAAACAAAGAACGTAACAATTCTAACATTCGTTTCAAGTTAGTTCCGGATATTAATATACAGCTGGACTTGAATGCAAGTAATGAAGTTTTCAAAATACATGATAATGCTGCAGTTAAAACACAGTTTAATGTAAACAAAATGAGACAAGTTACCAAAACTATTACTCCCACACTTTCATAATACGAAAGCTTTATTACTTTATAGAAAGCGTAAGCCTAAAAACGTAGTTACGCCGTAATTGCTTGACATCATTAAATTAGATACATTGTACGAATAGAATAAACTACTGCCAGATAGTAAAGACTACATATTATGCACTGACGCAAACGTTGTCAATGTGTTAAGAGACAATACCGTAGTCATAAACGGGTAGTATTTAATTTTATGGAGAATATGAAACGTGTACTACTACACGATACATACTTCACTAGTGACAGTTAAGGAAATACAAATGCATAAATACAGATAAATAAAGTAATAAAAATAGAGTTCTTAGTCAACCCATAATTTGTGGTGAATGTTAGTGAAGTCCCTAACTTATCCACATTTTGCAAGCCTCATAATTACAAATGTAGCTAATAATATTTTTAAATAGACTATCTACAGTCCTTTCTGTAATGCTGTGCTTAAAATATTGAGAAATTAAATAATATCTTCATAAATGCTTTCGCTATTATTATTAACATGAAGTCCTACGTCTACAAATGCAAGTCAATGATTTTCGGAACTTTACTATTTTGACTCTGACGTTGCTAATATTGCATTCAATTAGCAGGACGTAGCATTTATTATTATAAGGATAATATATAACACTTAAGAAAACCTAAACGTTAATTCAATTGTTATTATCTGACGATATCGATAAGATTCTTTCTTTCAACAAACTAGTACTTCAGCAATAAGATATCGCTTTGAAATACAATGAATTAAATGCATTGTCAGTCTCGCAGAAAACCTCTGATGATGCAATTGTTAAAAAGAAAATACGACACTTGACCAAACTGAATTGTATAAAAACAATGGCTACTACATTTGCACTAACCCGATGAAGACCTTGGCAGTAATAAAAGAATGGAGTTATATAAGTATAAAGTCCAAAGCGATTATTAAATATAATCATTATATAAAATTTAAAACTAAGTTTTAAAAAGTTTAAAAATTTAAAAATATAAACCGTCCGTGAAATTTAGTTCCAAATACTTCATTATTTTTAATAAATTGTAAATAAATGCTATAAAATAAGATTAATATGCTTTTCCTACTATAGTGGAAAAGCAAAAAAAAATACGGAATTTTCCAATGAACAATTTATCATTCCACTTTTGTTGTCAAGTTGATTACAAGTTGCGACTGGAGTGGGTCAGAGCAATTTTATAAATTATGAATACGTGACCGCCGCATTAAAAATTCTATCCATGGAAACAATGAGATGACCAATACCGACTAGTACAATATTGTTTTCGTTTACAAAAATTAATTTTGTAACGTGACTGATTTTGAAGCGACAGCAGTTGGATGCAGGCCAAAAGCTCAAGAATAATGCATGTCTATGAAAAACAGATAAGGCTTCCACTAGTAAACTTGTTTTGATAGATTTCGTAGCAAACAAATCGTTATTCTTTACAATAACTATGCCAACCACATGTAAATAACGCTCTAGAAAAAACAAACATAAAACCGGATTCGCCGTATTGATAAGAACCTAGATTTAAACCCAGCAGAAACCCTATGAAACAAGTAAAAAGTTCATAACTTGAACCACATGAAAACTGTATAAACTAAATGTTGCAACTCCGGATATCAAGGTCTGATTGCCGCCGTTTCACTTGGCCGAAACGAAACCTTCCAACTACTGAAGAGTAGGCTGCCGAGCATAGCAATAATGACTGTAAAGCCTCGTTTTGTATTACTCTACCCAAATCAATAAGACTGGACTTGCAGACAAGCAGTTCAAAGTTCGTTTATTTTGTTTCCAATATCATAATTCTTAAACATGATAAGATGTAGTTCTAAATATTTATACACAATATTATATAACTCTAACTTATAGGTCTAAAGTAATTAATAAATTTATATTTATCCTTCCATCTAACGTTTGATGGCAATATGTCATTTATGAGACATTGTAAATTATGTAAATTTAATTATTCCACAAATGGCAAACTCCGCTTTCGTGTATGCAAGGTTAATTGTATTTCCTTCGAGTAATATGTATTACATTGAATAATACATACATATATGTTATACGTCTGTATTATTATCTACCTTAGACAAGGTCGATAGGACAATGAATTCTAAAACGATTACCAACTCTTCAGTGCATTGCAGAAATACCTTTCGATCGCTAAATAAAACTAAACTAAATGAACTATCAATAAACACAGACAACTAGAAACTAATAATTTGAACAAAACACAATACTGTAACATAATATCCTGTTTGGCAATAAAAGAGTAAAAACGAAGCAGAAATTCTGATATACACAAATAAATAGATTACGAAGGACATTAAAGATGATAAATTTTCTCTTCACATGAAGGTAAGTGACCTTTACATGGTATTAGATCTTAGTAAAGCCACTATTACACAGTCACTGTAGATCCACGAGTTATTAACCGAATCACCGGAGCGCGACGCAACGGTATCGGTTCATTCCGTGCACAAATACAAAATGTGATCACAATCCAACAAAACTGATATCCTTTTGGCATAGAAAACAATCACGCGTATCACACGTTCAAATATCACAACACTGAGAATTTTATTATTTTTAAACGTAAACAGAACCTGCGATAGGTCCGTCGCGTGGATCGCTCGTGGAGAGACTGAGGTGGCAACGCTGCGCCGGCGCCGACTTGCCTGCACAGTTATCAGTCTTCTGGGGGGAAAGGGGGTAACAAGAAGAAAAGGACCGCACGTGACGTTAGAGATAACACCCAAAATCGCATATTCAATTATTGTGAACCCGAAAAATCCGAGAAAGATAGCGCAAATCAATTTGCAACAATCGCCGAACATTTGCCGCTGGGACTGATACATTCGTTAAATTCGCGTATCTCTACATTACTTTATAGGCAGTTAACTGAGTCATGATTCAAACTAGTCACGACGTTTTCCAAATGGAAGACATGGAAACAAGTTGATGTTGTATTCAAAGCAACCGCAATTTGTTATAACTCATGTTGAACAGGAATAAGTGTCTCATAGATATTCACATGTCTTTGTTTGTGGCAATAATAGAAATGTCCGTTATTTATTATGTAATAAGCTTAACATGGTTACAGACTGCACGAAGTTTCATTACACATCTATACGTTTTATTATAACTCAAAAGTAAATACTTACATAGAAATAAAGTTCCTTTTGCAATATGTCTTCAAATGGTTTTTCAAACATTTATTCTCTGCAACAATTACTTTTCTCTCTGATGTAACTTCAGCAAAATTATTATACAAAACATGATATTGGGAAGACGTACGTACGTGATGATAATAAAAACAACTTTTAATGATAAACATAACGAGCAATATTTAATTAAAGGTATAATTAAAAGGAAGACGAACTGAAGCAATATTATGATTTGATAGTTGTTGACAATAATTATTTTTCAAGGCTAAGAGATATTTGTAACTTTGTTGCCAATATTTAGTATGATGTTCATATATTTTAATTTTGAAGCTTACTACATAGGCGTCGACTTAAGAGCAACGCAGTACATCTAATTAGCGTTGAAAATAATTATACCACTGAACTGAACATTAATTTCTTAATTGATATAAACGAAAGTAGTTACGTTTGCTATAAAGAGAAAGTTGTTCAAACAATTTTTGGCTCCCTCAAATTTTAAAATCCTTTGGATTGCTTATCGGTTGCAGTTTTATTTTTTATTCCCTTAGCGTCAGGTGGTGCAACACCTGACGCGGATCCGGTTTAGGCTATTTCCCGCGTTTGAGTTATTTTTATTACGTTTTTAAGTGTTCTAATTTTTCGATGATGTATTTAAGTATTTGTATCAATTGTTTCAATTCCGTTGCGTTCTTTCCGTTCCGCCCGTTGGATTCCAATAACACAAGCTCTGCATAGCTTTGTTCTAGATGGCGCTGTGCGAATTGTCTAGGGATATTTTATTATGGATGATAATGGAATGGAAACCCGCCTGTGCTAACGGTGTACGCTTGTGGGGCTCCAGTGGAGGATAATAAAATGAAGACAGGTCAGTTAGACCACCGTGACAAATTCACTAAGAATTTATCATGATGGTTTCCAGGGAGAATCGCGAGGAGATCAACCTGACATGTTACATTGTAATGAGAGCAATTGGGATACAGTACAGTCTAGTCCATATTACTAACAATCCCTTCCCCCGGGTTATTATAGAAAAGGTAGACATAATGCTACCACGGAAGGGACATTCGCTGCACCGACACCGCGTGACCGTGACTGTGCTCGCCGCCATGGAACCAGGTCAAGACTCTCTGGTTCACTGATCTTGGCTAGTAGATTTCCTGATAAATTAAACATTTCTTTTATCCAGACGTATAGACAAGAAATAGGCGATTTTAGAATAATAGACCTACTGTACTAGTTTCTTTTTGTTAATAGATGAATAGGGATAGGTACTCGCTTGAGCTAATGGTAGGTTACCAGAGCACAAGTGAAAAATAATAAAATTTGGAGTATAATATGTAGGAAGATATACCTCCATAAGTAAGATACAATGATTGATTTGATTAATGTATGAAATCCAGTCAAATTGTCCTTAACGACGAATTAAACATTTATCACTTAAAAGCTAAATCCTGCGAAATGAGATATTACGAACAGACTAATTATTATTAATATACTTAAACGGGTTACACGGATAACACAAATAATTTGAGAGTAAATGTAATGACTACAATAGTACTAAACTCAAAAGTTTATAAATGAGAAAGCGCTTGTATTTTTAGTTTATTAATTTAGAACATAAAACCTAACTGTTCCTCTTTACTTTAGATAAATTGTAGAACATCAGGAAGGTCTTATTAAAAAAAGGTTAAAGGTTTAATTAGGAAACTTATTAATTAAGTTGACTGAACTAATTAGTCCAGGACTATATATACATGACTCTACATAAACATTATTTATTCATTTAAAGCCATTTTCGACTTGTAATAAAAATAAAATACCAACTGCTTCCACCTCCACCTGATACCGAAGTTAAAAATCTAACTTGTGCTTTAAGGTAAAAAAAACAATGATATTGGTCAACCTTAACAAAACAAATGAAATCTCGTTGTATCATCTTTCTTGTACTTATTATATACCTATTGATAAATTTGTAAAAAGAATATATAATAAACAAATAAACTATATCTAAAACCAACACAGATCACTCATTTTATCATTACACTACCTGCGCTTCAAGCCAATAACAATAATACTATTTCAGAAAACAATGAGCAATTCGCTATTTCTAACGATAATCGTATCGTGTCTAACATTGGAGACGCGAATAACAACAGTTGGAGGTGAGTCATCAGCGACCAACATCGGAGGCTGCGCCGGACCGTGTAATGACTTGCTCTTTGTGCTGCACTGTGGCGGTTGTTGGCGTTTTTGTGAGTAATGCTAGATTGGTTTGATGTCTTCTAATTTAAAAATAAATTGCATACATTAAACCTTTTAGATTTTTTATGCAACTAGTTGGCCAACGAGTTGACAGTCCACCGGAAGAAGAGAGGTAAAATACACAAACAGCATCTAGGTTATCACGTCGTCAAATTACGCGGTGATACAACAGAACAGAATAGAAAATTCTTTATTCAACTCAAATTTCCACTTTTGAATAGTCATATATACTTTTAAAATCTAACATTGAATCGGAATGCTGTTTTCTCACAAGAAGAATGAGCAAGAAACGTCCCCTCTTAAATAATTGTTGTTACTTTACATTTAAAAAAAATATATGAATACAAACTACAAATTACACTACAAACACTAATTCATTATGGTCAAATATTGAAAACACAACCAACTAGTTGAGTAACTAAATAAGAGTAAATCAGCCCTAGTAATTAGAGCGAACCTGTCCCTATAAGTAGAGACCTCATGCGTTGGCATTCCTGACGAATAAGGTGTCATGCCTACCCTTTAATCTTACAACCATACCTCATCCGTTACACATAGCGTAAGCTATTATAATATTCGGAAGTAAAAATGTATTATACCACCTAACACTGAAAAAAAATAATATTCGTGTTGATTACTTCCTTGTTGAAGTCGGTTAATAAAACGAGGACATACGCAAATTGTTCACAGGACGCATAATTGCGTCGTGTGAATGAGTAATTCAAAAAAAAACATGTCAAATTGTGGACAAATTTAGTTTAAGTACAATTTCGACGGTTTTCCAACTAAGCAGCTGCTTGTGCCATGGCTACTAGACTGAAACACAGTTAAATACATACATAATATTCATAGAAAACAGACAGATACAAAATGTTTGCACCGTGCCAGGAATCGGACCCACGACCATCAGAAGTGGTGGGCTAGACCATCGAGGCTGGCAAATTAAATAACTCATTACAATTATTTAATAAAAGAACCTAATACCATATATTTATAATACTAAGAAGATGCCAATTTATTTAAAAATAAAAACCTTCACCATATACTTATATTGCTAAATAATTACTTAAAATACATATATCAAATTTGGTGTATATTTTTATGACATCAACTCCATATACGCAATATTAATGTATTTAACGAAACACTACCATACAATTCCACTATTATATTTCGTCTCATTACATAAATTATAAGGTCGTTAATCGAATATGACCCCTGGAGCAAGGTAATACGTCTAAGGTACTATTCACGCCCGGTATAAGGATGCTGAAGTAATTTGAATTTTGGCACACTGCAATAAGATTGCGAATGTGTTCATTAATACTAGAACGTATGTTAATCTTAGAACAGTGTGGGTGGTATAAGATATTCGTACGGTACTATTATACTAAAGCCTTCAATTTATAATTATTTAGACCACTATTGTGTTTTCTGCTTAACTATAATTATTATACCATGTTAGTTACATAAATAAGTACATTATACTTACTGACTTTGATCATAACCGCTATTACATTACGTCATAATTCAAATTATATCTACATATAAATTTAAAATATGAATCCCTGCCCCAATCACACATCGCCATCTAGTCCCAAGCTAAGTAGAGCTTGTGTTTATGAGCAATATAAAATTGGTAACAGATACGTGTACACACACGTACGTACGTACATACACAATATACATAGAGAACACCCAGACCAATATCAACAATCATTGTAATCATACTCATAAATACAAATGTTGTACCGTGCGGGGAATCGAACCCGCAACCATTGGAAGTAAAGCGATTTGTTCCCACAAGGGGCAAATGAAAAGTTGTATGGGAGTATCGTCATTTTTAAAGCTAGAACTTTGAAACTCTTTTTCTAGGCTGCTATATGACATTCACAGTCTGTAAAATATTTACCCTTAAAGAGGTAAAATAATTTAGGGGATGAAAGTTTGTCTGGAAATTCGTCCTTTTTAAGAACGATGAAACTTTTTTCAGTTACATTATTATAAATATTTTCTTTTATTTGATGACTGTCGGTCACTGTTCCACGCGGACGAAAACGCGGGCTCAGCTAGTTAATTATATGTATGTTACGCTAGTGTATGATAAATAGATGAGCATTCTAATAAACAGCAGGCGGTTATTATTGATAGCCGCGAATTAATTAACAGATTACGTCATGTCACTGTTGGGAACT